AACACACTCTCTCACACACACACAACACACTCTCTCACACACACACAGCTCACTCTCTCACACACACACATACACACTCTCTCTCACACACACATACACTCTCTCACACACACACTCACACACACACTCTCTCTCACACACACACACACACTCACTCACTCTCACAAACACACACACACTCCCTCTCACACACACACACACACACACACACACACACACTCGCCCGGGCTGTACAGTGCCAGGTGGGAGTGAACCCAACCCAAGTTGTCCGCTCTGTGTAAATGATGCATGTGCTATTGGCTAACCAGCTACAGCACAGTGCACCCACCCACAGGAGTGCTCTCCATGGGTTCCCGTTTTGTCGGCTGTCAGAAGTCCCCCTCAGGCTGACACGTGCTCCATTCCCCTAGCCCGGCCCTCTTTTTCTCGCTGCAGACTGAGAGAGTTTGAAGCTATGAAAGCAGTCGGGAGGACACGTCCCTCCCCCTTCCTCCTGTGCCATCCCCTTGTGCGTGAGAAGAGAAGGCAGAGGAAAAGTTCGGGGGGGGGGGGGAGTTGGAATTGCCAGAGAGCCGCAGAAGTGAGCTTCAGAATCTGTTTGCGTTCGATCAGACGGGACCAAACAGAGAATTGTTTCTGAAACAGACGTCTCTGTCTCTTGGCGAATCCCACCACTATTCACGGCTCTCCCCCCTGACCTGATGATGAAGGATGCAGCTGGGAAGAGCTGTGAGGACTATGGTAGGTTGAATCTATCTATTTATCCTGCATTTGCTACCCCTCTCCATTCAAACCTGCAAGAGGTAGAGGGGTAGCGGTCTGATGGGGGAGGGAGGAATGGCGCAAAGTTACTCAGACAGAGAGAGGAAAAAGTCAGACAGAGCGAGTGAGTGGCAAAGAGAGAGAGACAGCGAGCGCTCAAACAAGAGACAGGCACCCAATGCAAGTGAGACACAGATGGAGCAAACAGAGATACAAGGAGAGAGAGAGAGAGAGAGAGATGGGGGGGGGGGGGGGGGGAGACAGAGAGAGGGAGGGGAATAAAACAAAGGGAGATGAACACTGAGACGTGCGATGAGTCTCTGATCAAGAGGGCGAGAGAGCGAGCATGAAAGAAAGGCAGCAAACGCAGAGAGGGAAAATGGGAAAAGTTGGCAACTGCTTTGATGTCAGGAACTTTTTATTTGTTTTTGCCGTGAGCCCCGTCATCCTGAAGGCAGTCCCCTCCTGCTGGTGTGTTGGTGGGGGGAGAGAGAGAGACACACACACACAGAGTGAGAGAGAGGGGGAGACAGAGACAGAGAGAGAGAGCGGGGAGACAGAGACAGAGAGACACACACAGAGTGAGAGAGACAGGGAGAGACACACACAGAGTGAGAGAGGGGGTGGAGACAGAGAGACACACACACAAAGTGAGGGGGGGAGACATAGACAGAGACACACACTAAGTGAGGGGGGGAGACAGAGACAGAGAGAGACACACAGAAAGTGAGAGAGAGGAGGAGATTGAGACAAACAGAGAGACAGACACAGAGTGAGAGAGGAGGAGACAGAGGGAGACACACACAGAGTGAGAGAGAGGGGGAGACAGAGACAGAAAGAGAGAAAAACAGAGAATGAGAGAGATGGGGAGACAGAGAGAGAGTGAGAGAGGGGGAACAGACAGAGAGAGAGAGAGTGTGTGTATGTGAGAGAGAGAGAGACAGTGAGAGAGAGATGGTGAAGGTGGGATTGGAGAGACACAAGAACATACACTTGTTTCCTGCCTCAGCATGGCCTCTCACCCGTGCAGGGGCATCTCAGCCTTTTGCTGGCCACTGGACATTTCCCAAAGCTGAAGAGGAGAGTGTGGAGTTACACAGGGGACAATGTGGTCACGGAGAAAGACTGCGGTGCAGGCAGTGTTAAGAGGGAGGGCAACTGGTCCCAGGGAGCACGCAGAGAGGAACAGGGTTAAATGTCACGAGAGAGAGGGAGAGCACAGCATGGGAATCTCACTGTCGTAACTAG